TTATAATATACCCCATGGTAGGCAGAAAACGTCTCCCAAAGATGTCAATTTCCTAATCTCCATAATCTGTTAATGTTATGTTACATGGCAAAGGGCATTCTGATCGCTAATCACCTGACCTTAAAACAGGGAGGTTATTCTGAATGATCAGAGTGGGCTTAATGTGATCACAAGAGTTCTGAACAGTGGAAGAGGGAGGCAGAAGAGGAGTGTGGCGTGCTGGGATGTGAGAAGGATTAGGCCTGCCATTGCTAGTTTTGAAGATAAAAGAAAGACAGCATAAGCTAAGGACTATAGGCAGCTTCTAGAAGCTGGAGCAGGGAAAGAAACCGATTATCTCCTAGAGCCCTGAGAAAGGAATACAGCCCTGTCAACACTGTGATTTTAGCCCAGTGAGATTCAATTCTGATTTCTGACCTCCCAAAACTATAAGATAGATTTACATTGTTTAAACCATTAAATTTGTGGTAATTTGTTACAGCAGTAATAGGAAATTAATATAGGCCCCAAGTGAGAACTACACAGTAGAGCCCAGTCGACTCATAGAAACATGAGAAATAATTTTTTAAAATGAAGTTTGAACCACTAAGTTTTATTGCATAGCAATAGATAACTGGAATGGCAAGGGAGTTACCAAGTCTATTAGGCTATCTTAATAGAATTCATGAGCCAAACTGAAAAGGTTTCCATTGGGCAAAGGGGGAATAAATGGAGCATCAGTAAGGATAACACTTTAATAGATTAAATGATCGAATACATTTAAATTCATAACTTCATAAAGATACAACAAAACTGATCAACTTTGTAGGATTTGAAAGAACAAACTCATTATTTGTAAAACTGTTAAGTTAAAAAAAAATGTAAACACTTACTTAGCCTACTCCTCTTATACTATCAAATACCAGAAGAGGAAATTTTTTTCTTTATATAATTTTTCTAGGTAATAAAGGAAAGAGTGATTGAATTTGAATATATCTCTACCATGCAATCTGTAATTAATTAATGGACTTAGGCATTGAGAATTAGTGGCAACAAAAATTGCAAAAAGAGGTTCCATCAGACAATATGCATATCCTGCTGGGGGAACACGCCACCACAATAAAGCAGCCTTGGAAAAAAGAAAAAAGAGAACGACCTGAATCTTATGTCTGATAAAGCCTCTGGGTCAACTACCAATTTATGGCAAACACAAAGAACACAGGAGAGAAGAATATATTAAACTATTAACACACCAAAAAGATAAAGTCAACAAAATCCAGCAAAGGTAATTCTGCATATAAATTTCTTTGTTTCTTCAAAAAATAAAATGCAAAAGGGGAAAATGGATGGAGGGGAAAACCTGTAAATTAAAAAACACTCAAAAGACATAATTTAAAGCTAAAAGTAAAGTATAGTATTGAAGGATGTTCCCTTTGATAATACAATTAAAAAGATAGAGTTAAAGGGTCTAATCCTGGAGCACTTCAACATCTAGAGATGGATAGAGATGGAAGAGTCAGAAAAGGAATTGAGGAATGACCAGAGAAGCAAGAGGTAAAGCAGGCTGGTATCATAGAAGCCAAGAGAAAAGCATGCTCTGAGATGGGGAAGTTGTCAACTGAATCAAATATCATGAAGTCAGTAAGATGAAAATTGAGAAGTGGTCATCAGATTTGCCAACACACAGTTCATTGGTGACCTTGCTGAAAGCAGTGTCAGAGGAGTTGAAGGCAAAGCTAAATCAAATGAGTGACAGTAACTGGAAGATGAAAAGAGACATTTAATGGCTATTGGCAACTCTTTAAAAATGTTTGCTTGAGCAGAGGAGCAGAGATACAGCCTGGTAGCTAGGGGACAATACAGGGTTAACGGAGATTTCTTTTTAAAGTGGAGTTTATTCTAGCATATTTGTATGCTGAGAGAGAGCTTGAAGATATAGAAGAGAAAAAGAATAAACAAAAAAGAAAAGTTCTTGCGGAGTTGAGATGGGATGAAACCCAAAACACACATGGAAACATTGATCTCTGATAGAGGGAGGGTTGCTCCATCTGCCAGAGGATGCAAAAGGTAAATGCCCATTTGGGTATACTTGCAGATTTGGTGGTAGGGAGGTAAGGGAATTTCTACCAGATGGATTACATTCTTTCCTTTCAGTTTGAAACAAGCCCATCATCTTCAAAGATGTGGAGCTGTATCAGGATATCCCATTTGTTAACCACGGGATTGAGGTTAGTGGTTTTTAAATTTTTTTGGACCATTACCCACTAGTAAATGTATTTTTCTTATGACCCACTATACACAAACACAGGTAATTGAAATAAAATTTCATGGCCCAGTGCTTACTCCTATCAGGTATGTTCTCTGTTCTTTCTTTTTCAGGCCTACTAGTCTAACTAGACTGGCAAGAGTCATGAAGCAGAGCACATGGGTTGGGGAGGACGAAAATAAAGGGGATCCTATCCCATGTCAGGGTAAATATGACTCCTGAGTAGGGACTGGCCTCCCTGTCTCAGAAATACATGTAAATTAAGGATATTAAATCAGAAATTGGCTAACAAGATTATTTCCAATGCACTTATATACTAAAATATTGTTTTTCATAATTTTCTAATTTTTAAAATTTTATTGGGAATTTATAGTATTATCTATTATAGCATATAAATGAAACACTTATGTAAACATTAAAGGACAATCAGACAGATCCTATACTCACTACCCTGGTTAAGCAATAAAATGTTTTCAGTAACATGGAAGCCCCCACTCCCAATTGTCTCTCCATCTCTGAGAGGTAATCATTACCTTGATTTTACTTTTAACCATTCAATTTTTCTCTATTATTTTGCCACTTATGCATATATCCCTAAATAATATAGGTTAGTTTGTCCTGCTTTTGTACCTTAGATAAATATAATACTACACCGCATACATGTTCTTGTATCTGGCTCCTTTCACTAAATATTATGTGCATGATGCTATTTTATCCATTTTCGTTGCTGAATGCAATTCCGTATTTGAATATACCACATTTTTTATATTTGTTTGCTGTTGATGAACATTCTGCTTGTTTTCATTTGGGAATCCTAGTTTATGTCCTCCTACACACATGCAGGAGCTTCTCAAGAGCATCTATCTTGCAGTAGAATTGCTGGATCAAAGAGTATGAATACTTTCAACTTTATCAGACAAGTTCAAATGCTTCCAATTTACACTCCCACTACCAGTAGGCGTTTCCCATTGTTCTATATTATCACTACTTGACATTTTTAGTTTTCTTGACACTATTGCCAATCTGGTGGGTATGTATTGGTAATTCATTGTGGGCTTTAATTGGTACTTCTATCCTTTCATATGTTCATTGGCCATTTGGATTTCAGATTTCCTTATTCAATTTTGTTTCATTAAAAAATGCTAGTTAGAGTTGATCTTTCACAAATCTGAAAAACAAAAAAAAGCAATGGGGAAAGGATTCCTTATTCAATAAACAGTCCTCGGAGAACTGGCTAGCCATATGCAGAAAACTGAAAGTGGACTCCTTCCCTACACCTTATACAAAAATGAACTCAAGATGGATTAAAGATGTAAATGTAAAACCCCCAAACCATAAAAATCTGAGAAGAAAATCTAGGCAATACCATTCAGGACAAAGTCACAGGCAAAGATTTCATGATGAAAATGCCATAAGCAATTGCAGCAAAAGCAAAAATTGACAAATGGGATCTAATTAAACTAAAGAGCTTCTGTATAGTAAAAGAAATTATCATCAGAGTGAACAGAGAACCTACAGAATGGGAGAAATGTTTTGCAATCTATCCATCTGACAAAGGTCTAATACCCAGAGTCTACAAGGAGCCTCCACATGTCAGTCGATTGTTCTCAAAATGGTGGTGCTATCCCTCACAGTACTATCACCAGCTACTAGTCTGTTGGGAAAACGTAAAGGGGATGATATTCAGCTGGAATCTGAGTGTGATCTTCTGGACATCCGTGTGGATGTTGATGTTGGGAAGGATCTGTGGACTCTGAGGAATATCGGTGTCATGCTGTTTAGACGGGGTATGCTCTGACATGGCAGGGCTTTCTTGGGTCTATGTCTGAGGCGCCACATCAAGCAAACTGAGGACCCATAAAGGAACACTGTAACCCTGGGAGACACCGTAAGGATAACAATAATGCTCACTACTCCCTAGCTCTTGTTAAACACTCCTTCCTCTCTTTTTATGAGATGTTATGATGCGGCAACAAGAAGGGTGTTAGAATGAATTTTGGAATGCAGATAAGGATATTGCCCATAGAATCTTTTGTGAAGATTTATTCTAACAAGGCTATACTTGTATTTTTTATTTCCATGATGTTGAGGACAATCATAAAGTCAAAGATTCCACTAGTTGGACACGTCTTTTTTTTGTTTGTTTGTTTACATTATTCCAGTAATTGCACGGAGGCTGCAACCCTTGGGAGGCAGGTGGGAAATGTCAGGGAGCTGCAATAGAGAGAAAAAGGAGTGGGGGTAATCTTAACGGTAACAACAGCAACTTTCAACAACACTAGCTTGTTATTCTGCTTGAAAAATCATTTTTTAGAAATAGTCAAATATTTATGTTTGAGTTTTGTTTGAAATGCTCCTTTTCTATAAAATCATCTAAATAATGATTTGGAACTTTTGACAGCATTCCAAATATTATGAAATTTTGAATATTTCTTCTAAACAATCACACAAATATACATGTTTCCAAACCAAAACGGATATTCCCATGCTTGAAATGCTTTTTCTAATTTCTAATTTATTCTTAAGGGCTAATTTGCAAAATGAAATTGTTTGGATGATTGGTTTGCAGTAAACATGGTGTACCAAATTGGTTTCTAAATTTAGAGAAAGGTTGAGTCTCCTCTTAAAATAATCAAGAAATAATAGAAGTATTAATGATAATGAAGCTTCCATAATTAAAAAGTCAAATTCTGAAATAACAAGCAGAAATGAACATTAGCAGGTAGCAGCTATATAATTTATAATTCTTACAAAGTTATTTTGAGCTCTTTTTATAGGATAACACAACCTTCAACATGCAGTTTGCTAAATTATAGTGTAAGTACTATATGTGCCATAATTAAGTTCCATAATTTGGGAGAATTTAGTACTCTTAAATATAACTTAAAGATACAGGAAATATAGTGCATAAAATTCTAAGAATCACAAAAGAAAGGCAAAGTTGTTTTAATAGATGCTATGATTTCTATGTCTGATATTTCAAACATTTTAGAAAGTAGTAATTATTATTAACCATATAAATGTTTTCAAAGAAAAATGCTCTTTACATATAGAATTTGAGGATGAGCTCTATATTTTAAATACAGTAGACTCCATGTCCTTCCTTGGAGGTTTTCGAGGACTAATTTTTGGTAATATCTCTTTGGCATAAAGTGTTCTATGAATTCCAGCTTCTCGAAGCGCTAACTCGAAGCGAAGTCTAGGGTCAGAAATTATCTGTAGAAATAAAAATACAATTTAAATAGCAATTCATTGAACTAAAATAACTTTTAACATTTAGTTTCATGTTTTCCCAAACTAATTTTTTTTTTCTGGACAGATGACTAGGTGACAGTAAACTTTGTGAATACAGTGGCTATATTTTGGAAGCATCCAAACCTTTTTGACATTATCACTTTTCAGTACTTCAGTGGTTTTCAATGTAGGGTGTATAGAATATTGTGTACTAGATTAGTCAAAATATAATGCCTTAAAATTATTAGAAGATGAAGTAAAAGAAGCTTACTTTCAGCGCTACTATCTATTTATTACTTATTGCTGGCTGGAATTATAAAATACAGATAAGCATTGATTAAAATAAATCTAAGCCACAACCTTGTACATCTGTCTTTAAAAAGCATCTTAATTTCTCCATCATTTGGCAATATGTAAATTAAGCTTAAACACATGGCCACCACTTGAAAAACAAAATCAATAGGACTTTTCTTCCAAGGCTGGGTTTCTATTTCAAACAGAAGTAGAAAATGCCTCCATCAATCTAAGTGGGAGTAGACATATGAGTAGTTCAATTTCTGTTTTCATTTATAGCTGATTGGATCTTATTCCTCTTCCCCTCCTCCTATGAATATTAAATGTCAACAGAGACTGTTTGAAATGATAAGAAGGTGGTCACATATGGATTTTACCTAATGAGGCATTTTACATGGATTTGAAGTCCCCCTAGAGGATGCGATAAAAAGCTAGTAAAAGCAGCCCCTCCAGGAGCTCTTAGGCGAATTGGGGCAATAAAAATGTAGACAGATAACTACAGATTATGGCGACATGTGGCAGATGCCCTAAAAGTAGTAAAACAAGGGGGAGCATCTCCTGGTGCTGGCGGCATGAGGATGGTCTCAGGTGAAGATGAGCAATTGAACTACCCTTAAAATCCAACTTAGTCTATAAAGCAGACTGGGGAGGAAGAGAGACCTAATGAGAAAGGAAGATACATACAAACTCAGAGGTGAAATAGGTCAACCTGGGATAAGGGTGGTTTGAGCAGAGCACTGGTTATCATTGAGGAACACTGGAAACAGATGCTTCTCAGACAAGGACTTGAACTTAAAAGGCTTGCATGGCCATGCCGAGTCTAAGGAGCTACTAGGGTATGTTTGTTTCTGGTTTTTGAATAAAAATAATAAAATCACTGTAGTTGCATAGGAAGATGGGTCTGATTGTAAGTTCTGAATAAATTAAGGTAGCAGGGAAAGAAGAAACGGAGGCCAAAAGAGTGGTTAGGAATTTACTACAATTGTCTAGACATAAAGTGATAAATGTCTGAACTTGGCTGGTAGCAAGGAAGAGATAATCGTCAGAAACACTATGAAAACAAGAATCAATAGTACTTGGCAGTTGATCAGATACAGGGCTTGGGGCAACAATGAGTATGAAGTCAAGAATAATACAGAGATTTGTGTCTGAGAAGCAACAAATATGAGCCTAAGAGCCAGGTTTTTCCTCTTCTGTCTCAATGTCTTCTCCCTGGTCCACTCTCATGTGCTCCAGTGATTCATGTGCAACCTGTATGCCATTGACTCCCAATTACATCCAGGACTCACCTCTCTTCAGCTCCACATTGTGAGGCTTAAATTTTTTTTATTATTCAATTTTTGCAGAGCTAGAGCATGAAATGGAGATCTCCCCACTACTGGGACTTCCATCTTCCCAATTCCCTTCCCCACAGGCAACCCATCAGTTTCTTGTAAATACGTACTAGATACTTTTACTCTAAACATGGTATAAGTAAAACAAATTCTCTCTTTGCCTAAATCTGTTTTTCTTTCTGTATTCTTATATGGTTAATGGCAGCACCACCAGATGATTATAATTTACTGAATTACTACTAGATGCCCAGAAATATTTTAGGCAGTGGACATTTATGATCTCTAATGCTCACAAGGGCTTTGTAAGTAATTATTTTACAGATGAGGAAAACAAGGCATAAAGATATAAATAGCTTATACAAGTGCACCCAGCCAATAAATAGTGGATGCGGATTTGAATCCAAAACACCAGCTCTGGTTTTTTTTTGTTTTTGTTTTTGTTTTTTTTTTGATACGGTGTCTGGCTTTGTCACCCAGGCTGGAGTGCAGTGATATGAGCTCGGCTCACTGCAAGCTCTGCCTCCCGGGTTCACGCCATTCTCCTGCCTCAGCCTCCTGAGTAGCTGGGACTACAGGTGCCCGCCACCATGCCCGGCTAATTTTTTGTATTTTTAGTAGAGATGGGGTTTCACCGTGTTAGCCAGGATGGTCTCAATCTCCTAACCTCGTGATCTGCCCGCCTTGGCCTCCCAAAGTGCTGGGATTACAGGTGTGAGCCACCATGCCTGGCCAACACCAGCTCTTAATATTACTTGTTGTCTAGCTTGGAATCATCCTTACTTTCTTTGTCCCCTCCCTTTCTCAGCCAGAGCCATTCATGACCCCACCACCACCACTACTTCTATGAAGGCTCTGTTATTTTAAAAGGAACTCACCCCAACCCACGCCCACCCCCACCAATTTTACATTCAGTACACAGAGCTAAAACATAAATCTGATTACAGTTGTGTGTCACATAATGACAAGGACACATTCTGAGAAATGTGTCCTTAGGCAATTTTGTTGTGTGAATGTCATAGCAGGTACTTACAGAAACTGGGATGGTACAGCCTTCTACACACCTAGGTTGTATGATATAGGCCACTGCTCCTAGGCTGCGGCCTGTACAGCATGTTACTGTGCTCATGACCTTAGGAAGTAGTAACACAAAGCTAAGTACTTGTGAATCTAAACACAGAAGAGGAAATGCATTGTGCTGTGATGTTAAGACGCCACTAGGCAATAGAAATTTTTCAGCTCAGTTATAATCTTAAGGGACCACCAACATATATGTGGTCCGTCTTTGACCAAAACACTGTTATGGGGCACATGACTGTATACAATTTAAAGCTCCAAAGTCTGGCATCTGCATACAGATGCCTTAGTAGCAAGGCCTACTTGCTACTACTGGTCAAATGCCTTAGTAGCAAGACCTACTGTGCTTTTCACCGCCTGCACCTAACCCGTGTTTCCAGTCTCCTCTCCCAGCACTTATCATGTACCCCTTGTCATGTATCTCATACTAAAGACATCCTAGGAAAAGCCTTGTCCCACCCTCTTCCGCTTGGTCAAACCTAGAGGTGAAATAGGTCTCATCAGGATAAGGGTTAGCCCAGCAGCCTGAGACTTTGCAGCTTCTGATTTCAATCCTTTCAAGCCTCAGCTATTCTCCCCACTTTGGCAGCCAGGATCTAGAGACACCTCTTAAACCTTGTAATTAATCCTTCTCCCTATGTATCCTCCCCCACAACCTATTTTTGTTGTTGTTGTTGTTGTTGTTATTGTAAATCATCTGGAGTGGATTTTGCTTCTGCTTCCAAAAATCTTTGACTAAGATAAGGCTCAGAAGTTTCCTCTCTGACACCTTCTCTGACTTCTCCAGTCAGTGTTAACCATTCATTCCCTTCTTCTTCCTAGGGCAACCCTTAGACCTTCATTATAGAGTTGATCCCACCCTAGTGGCATTGTTGCTGTACATGCTACTTTCCTTCCCCAGCGGGCTCTTTTGCTCACTTCCTCCAGACAAGATCAGCCTATCTTGCTCAGATGTAGCCCAGGCACCATACACAGAGCCAGAATATAATATATGTTGCATAAATGTTGGTTCAATTAATAAATGAATGAATTATGCCTCTTTAGAGACCCTAGCAAAGTACGTCACACAAAGTAGAGACATAAGCGGATGAATGGATGGTTTCCTGGTTTTTAAATAATTAAATGATTATTTAGTTTCTCTCCTTATATTTGTAAAATTGACAACTACTTTCTCTTTTAATTTCAGTGACTGACATATCATCCACTCATCCATCCATCCTTCCATCCATCCATTCATCTGTTCTCCCTCCTACCCTCCATCCGTCAATCCATCCATCTAAAAGATCTTTTAAAAATCCTCTCTCAGTTACAAGCACAGACTAAAATGAACCCTAGGTTCCCAAAAATGGTTAAAAATGGTTAAATACAGAAATACCTTTTTCTGTAGAAAATGTTTTATCATTAGCTCTGATGTATTATTGTCTGTTCATTTTCATTTCTAAAAGCTTTCCTCTGCTTTGTCATCAATATCAGTTGTTTATTTAATATAATTTACATTATGAATTTAAATATAATTCTTAATGTAACAGAGAACCATTTAAACAACAAAATACAATATTAATACAGAACTCTCAAATAAAATTTTATAAAGCATTTTTTTAATTTAAAAAATAAGTTTCAATGACAGATTTATAACATTTTTAGGTAAGCTCTTGTTCTGTGGTAGCCTATTAACTAGTTTGTAATATTTAGAATTATGTAGCAATTATGTACTATCATTTAGAAGTAAAAATTATGCTAATATGTGTGATATTCAAATGTAAATATTGAAAACTGTTGTAACCCCAAACACACACTTCTACAGCCTTTACCGTCATCATGGCTTTTTCATCAGTCATGCTAATTTCCATAATTACCTGCTGTTCATTGTATGTATTCAATGTGAAGAGTGGCTTTTGAAGAATAAATTCTTCTTCAATTTCAATGCCCATCCTAGCTTTCGATGCCATTGTATCTGACATCATTCTAACAGGATCAAATTGAGCAACAACAGCAACCTGAAAATGAGAAAGCATGGCTCCTTGGAACAAGGTACAAACTAAATATTTCTGGGCAATATTATTGATGTCTAATGCCCATTAAAGTTGGAAATTTTATTAAAGGTAAAGCCTGGGAGAAAAGGGCAGAGAACAGTATTAATTGGCCAGTCCTAGAGATCCACAAAGGAGTTAACACAAAACAAGACAATACATATAAGACAAAATATTAAAATGCTATGGCATACAGTTATTTGCTAATGATTGAATAATTATAATTAATTTCAGATAACAATTTATCTTTCTGATATGAAGTCACAGGAAATCCTCGTATAGAAAATCTTACATATTCAACCAACTTGAAAGTCACAGAAAGTAAAAAAAAAAAATTCACTTTTTAACCATTAGTAATTTATGGTTATGGTAACAACCCTATGAAGTTTTCTAGGAAGTTTAATCTGATTGACCTGGATCTAGAGCATATAAGTCATGGGTCAAGTCAAGTGTGTTGGCATTAGTGAGCAAGGTGGGTGAATTTCCTTTGTAACAGGCAACTAGATTTCTAGGGACTGCTGTAAACCATTGTCCTCCTTCTACTGAAAAATTGCAAAGTCATTTTAACCCAAATACCCTTGTCTTTTATAATTCAAACCTGCATCTTAATGAAAAGAAGTCACTAATTCTGTAAATGATATGCACCATTAGTAACACCTGCCTATTAATTCTGAAAGTCAAGAATTAGCATGAAAAAAGTGGCATTCTTAATGCCATTTAAAGACTGTAATAAAATAACTGAGGGTTGAACATGCTTTAATTATTTTAGGTTTGCTAGCTAAAATAGCTTCCATCACAGTTCTAAATACTGATTATAGATAAGAGATAACAGCTATTTCCTCTTTTGAAGCATTCACAGATGGAAAGAATTCTAATCACATAGACTGTGTAGTTATCAAAGTTATGTTTTGAACAAGAATGTGTTTAGTAATAGTGACATTAAATCTTGTACCCAGAAGGCCATGGTATATAAATACTTGCTAATGGTTGAATAACTAAAATTTTATAGGATCCAGGATTACCAGGACTTACATTCCTATGCTTTACATTTATCTTTATAATTTTTTTTATCAAAGAAGATGATATAATAGTTGTATGTATTTACACCACATCTATACCATCTCATTTAGCTAGAATTCCTTGGTTTGAATCAGTATAACATTTACTAGCTGTGCGACTTTAAGAAAAGCACCTAACCTCTGTGTCTGCTCTGTTTCCTCTCCTATGAAATGGGGATATTAATACTGCCCACATCATAAAGTTGTTACAGAAATTAAAGTAATACCTAACAGCATTTAGAAGAGGGCTTTACACTTAGTAAATAATAAATTTGAACTCATATTATTGCAAATCTATAAGACAGATACTATTATTCCCATTTTTCAGATGAGGAAATAAAGTTTACGGAGGTTAAGTAAATGACCTGTTTCCAGTGCTGGTGAGTACAGAACCAGCTTGTACCAGGTTGGAAGGACACCAGAGGCCAAGTTCTTATCCATGATTCTGTGTTCCCTCCAGCAACATAGGAGGGAACCGAGTAGCCCTTTCCTATTAGCTGGGAAACGGTGTCAATGAAGATTTTAGAGATTTTGAGTTGAAACAACCACTTCAAGTTCAAAACTCTGAAAAACTACCAAGTAAAACTATCACATTTCCCAAGTTCTCAAATTCTCACCCTTGCCATCTACCATCCATTTTCATCTACTTTTGCTTACTTTCACTAGGCAAAGTGATGGGAGGCTTTTATTTCTCCACAACGTAGATATTTTCTAAAAAGTAATTTTTAACACATTTGTTGACTGTGGAATGTTTCCAAAGGGAGGCTCCTGTGCCAAAGAAGATTATCTTGCTCGAGTTCCACCAGGTTTTTTGAGGACAGTAAAATTCGTAGACTAGATGTAGAGCCTCACTGTTGTAAATGGATACTATCCAGCTAATAAACTCTAGGTGATATGATATACTTAAATAGTGGGAGAGCTTTTTAAAAGGTGATGATAAAATTCTTTCAATACACTGAGAAACTGGAAATGGTTCAATATAATTTAATTGCTCCTAGGAATGAACAGCAGTATCCCAATTTGGAAAAGTTACATTTTATATAGCAGATGCCATGAACTAAGCCCCAGTAAGAATGCTATTAAGAGCACTTAGAAACATTTTTTTTTAAAAACCACCCATGAAAATTTCCAAATGAAAAACACCTGTTTCCTAAGGGCTTCTAGCCGCCTCGCTCTCTCTTTGTCTTCATGAGCTTCTTGAAGGGCCGCTTCCTTTTTCTCCATCAAACGCCTTTCCAATAATTCTTTTCTATATTTAACCCTTAAAAAATAACACAGAAGGAAGTTGTGGAAGCATCATAATAATATTGGAGATTGTACGGAAAACAGCATAGGGGCATAACACATCTCAGAGGTGACATCACTGTCACATTTTGTTTTTACTTGTTTTTTTAATTGATTTCTCATGTCCAAACCAATCAAAAACACTTGTATAAAATGCAGTTCATAGTTTTTTTTTGTTTTTTGAGACGGAGTCTTGCTCTGCTGCCAGGCTTAAGTGCAGAGGCACGATCTTGTCTCACTGCAACCTCTGCCTCCCGGGTTCAAGCGATTCTCCTGCCTCAGCCTCCCGAGTAGCTGGGATTACAGGCGCCCGCCACCACACCCGGCTAACTTTTTGTATTTTTAGTAGAGAGGGGGTTTCAACATGTTGGCCAGGATGATCTCAATCTCCTGACCTCGAGATCCGCCTGCATCGGCCTCCCAAAGTGCTGAGATTACAGGAATTCATAGGAATTCTAATAACAACCAGAGAAATGCAGGAAAATGTGGGAGTAAAATTCAGTTCATCTCATTCCTCACAGAAATCACTTTATTAACTCTCAAAGTACCCACTGGCTGCCTTGGCTCCGGCTAACCTGCCCTGAGAGGTGACTGGCTCACTTTCAAGTGAGCTATTATAGTGGTCCCCAATGAGAAGTTTTAGCACACCTTGAGTTGTTAGAAAGTTTACATTACTGATTAAATATACAAATTTTTAGAAGGAAAAGTAAAATAAGCTACTATAATAATGTCTAAATTATTTTACTTACTAGAACTTAAACTTTACATATGTTGTCATCTACATTCTCACTTTCTGAGTAGGTGCATACGTGTGTTAAGCAACTTTTAAAATTGCACTTTGACATCTGTAGATGGCAGCAAAAACATGACTTTCCCTTAGCATTCTATTTCCAACCCCCTTGAAATCATCAGCTATTAAAATATGGCACACTTAAATACCAGCTTAAAGCCCTGTGCACGTTGGCCCTCCTCTGCTGCCTTTTTTGGGCAGCTTCCCTTGCCATCTTCTTGTCCAAGCTATTCCTCTACTGAATTACAGAGATGGAATTCATCCTTTCAAAAGAGTAGGCACCTGGGTTCTCAGGGGAGTATTAGCTCTCCACCTTTGCCTTCCATCATTGACAGTTTAGATTTAGCTTTCTCTGTGGCATCAGTCACAAATGTCCTTTACCCTTAGTGTGCACACCTGCATTTTCCAAGGTGGAGACACCTTCACTAGACCTTTTACCTTCTGGATTCTGATATTTACTGCGTGTTCACCGTGCATCAGGTCTTGTGATAAGTGCTTTACATGTTTTAGCTCATTTAGACCTCACAACAATCATATGCTGGGGTGCCATTTTAAAATTCTATTTTATGGATATAAAGACAGAGAAGCATAGATATGTGATTGGAGAAAGGTGAGATGACCAATCACTGCATTGTGGGACGGGCTGGTGAAACTTAGCAAGAGCTTCATGGAGGAGGCAGTATCTGAGCAGGGTCTTGAGGATTAGGATTCCAGGCAGAGACAGCAAGTGCAGGGTTCGTATCTGGGAGTGGCCCTCACTTGCCTTGACCTAGTCATGGAGGCCACGAGAGGGGAAGAGCTCAGGGTGGCAAGAAGAGAACAAGTGAACGATGAGTGACAGAGAAGCCCAGGCAAGTACTGGTGGCTGAGGCTGGTGGCCACAGGGTTCCCTTAGGAAGACATGCTCCTGGGGAGGAACACCCTAGAAACAGGTTGCTCATGAGGCTGTCATGAAAGGAGACGCACAGGAGAGGAAAGGAGGGAAGCATACAGTGGATCCTTGAGGAATAGAAAACCCAGAATGGGATTTAGAAGGAAAATCCTAATCTCCTTTGATGACCATGAGTGTTCTTGACAAAATCAGGAGTCAATATAGTCAAGACACATGGATTAAAGAGCCCACAGACCAGAATGCTCCCTTTCACGCCTCCATGTCATGGAAAGCTCTATTTCTCATTCTCTCCACTTTCACTAAGCCATGACATGACACAACCTCCCTAGTGAGGTTCTACTCAATTTAAGCACTGAGTGCAAGCTAAGTGAACTACTGTGAAGGTTCAATTAAAAAATACCCTGGGATTTGACAATTACCATATGCTAATTCTCAGAACTTTGGAAAGTTTCTCTTCCTTTGGGATATATAGGTTGCTTTGTCTGCAACAAAGTTTTTGTCTGCTTTGTGGAAAAGTAATAGTTGTTACAGTCAGGGGAGCTTGACTAGAGAGGAAGAAATTGCAAATGAGAGAAAGGCATTTGTACTTGTGTGGTAGAGAAGGCTGACTCATCATTTACTCTGAGGCTCATTCATTCATGTAACAGATATTTGTTGAGCACCTGCCATGCATCAAGGGCTGTGTTAGGCGCTGGTGATACAACGTCAACATGGAGACATGCTCCTGTCCTGGAAGAACTGACAATCCAATGTAGATACAATGACCCAGGCAATTATGATACAGGGCAGCTTGTGCTCTGATGGGACAATGGGGCAGAGACCATGGGAAAGACAGCTTTGCCACACTTGGGGCTTTCAGGGCAGTATCTATAATAGGAGGAAGTACTCTGAATTTAAGATACAAAGAAGGAGCAGGAACGCACCAGGAGGGGAGAGAATAGAAAGAATGATTCAGACAAAAAAGTAACATTTGAAGGCTCAGAGGTGAGAGTGAGCAGGTATGTTTGAAGAACTAAAAGAAATTCAGAATAACAAAAAATGAACAAAATAAAGTGCTGAGGACCAAGAATTGAAGCTAGAGAAGCAAGAGGGTCTGGACTGTGAGGGCTTTGAAAGCATGAGGGCTTTTTATCAGGGAGAAAGATCTGCTGTGATATGGAGGATGGGTTGTCGGGAGGCAAGACTAGAGATGAGCAATCCAGATGGGAGTGGAAGGCTTCCTGATCTAGGATGGGGGAAGAGTACTCATAGGAGGTTGGGAAAAGATACAGATTTAAAGGACATGTAGAAAATAAAAATCAATAGAAAGTTTTCATTTATTTTATGGGAGAGGCAAAGAGATAGAGGAAGATTTCTGTCTTACACAGTGAACAGTGGTGTTCCTCCCTACGACTGGGAACTTACATTAGAAACAGGGAAGTGAAGGAATTAAGTTCAGTTTGAACACAGACCAGTCTTCACAAGATCTGGGCTGGAGAAATACATGGGGAGTCTTTATCAGTAGAACGGAATTGAAGCCACAAGGCAGATGCCATCATCTAAAAAGAGTGTAGAATAAGAAGAGAGGTAGGCCTGGGATTGATTCCTAAGGAAACAACACTTAGGAAAGGGACAGAAGGTGAGGAAATCATTTAGGGAAATGAGGAGGATAAGTGGTCTAAGAGACATTAGGGAAAATGGGGTCAACAACATCAAATGCTATAAAAGATCAATTCTAGTGCAAAATAATTATTGGGTTAAACAACAGGGAGTCATTGTTGACCTTGGCAAGAACATCCCACAGAGGTGGATGAGGTAAGGTGAGGCAGTAAGAGAGGGTGTGGAGATAAGCAAGTCCTGCAGCAACACTGATGCTAATGGAGAGGGGAGAGACAAGGGGGAGATGGAGGGTGCACAGAGCCGACCACAGTTGCATTGGCTCCAAAGTGATGATCAAGGTTACTCTGACTGCCTCAAGGATTGGCCATGAAAAAATTTCAGGACTTAGGAGACACACTCAATTTCTTCATTTTTACAGATGCTATGGTTTAAACTCAAATAATACTTCACTTTAAAAAGGAGAAACTCTTGGTGCTTCTTTCTTCCACTCTCGATAGAAAATTTTCTTTGCCTAAAGAGAAGTGATGCAGAAAAACTCCTGGGAGGAAGCCAAATACATATTCATGGGGAAAGAAAATAGCAACACAGTAAAGTCAATCATTTGGAAAATTTTCCACATAAATACTTTTAGCCATTTGAGGTAGCAGATTTTCTCCAAATTAAACTGTTGCTATGAAAGTCAATGTCAGGAAGTGGCTAAACTCAATAGTTTTTAAGTTGTGCACTGAATTCCCAAACAGAAACCTTTTTGGGTTCATTTCTCAGTCTATTATATGCTCCCTGAGTCTACAAAGGTTGAAAGTGCTGCAAAAGAGGCATTTTCAACTTCTCTTGGGGGAGAAGAAGCATCATATTGTTCAAAAGTAACAGCTGCTGCAGAATCGGGCACAGCACTAACAATAATCTGGAAAGGATTTTATTTAAGCCTCCAGGACTGAGTGTAGTTGAAGGGACAGTATGCTTTCATGTAGAAATGGAGAATTTATGTGTCATTTTTGAGACTTTTTAATGTGTGCACTGCACTCTAAGAAATGAGTATACAAACGCAAGTGTTTGGAAACACCTTGATCTGTAGTAACAGCTTCCCTGAAACTTCAGTAAGAACCGGGCAAAATAATAAGTACTAAATCTTGACCTCCCTTTTATCTGGAGTTGCAGCTAACTTTCCTCTCAAAAGACGCTACAGCCACCAAGAGGGAAAAAGACTTCTGACAAATGGTCAATAGTGGCAAGTTCTACAATTTAAAACAAACAAACAAATAAACAAAAAACTTAAGCAATAAAACGGAGCATAAAGACATATCTTAATTAGGGTCTCTAACTAGTATGGAACTCCCCCCACCACCTAACATTTCAGTCAAGTAATTTGCCCTACTGAATTAAAGGTGGTTTATAAACAAACTTGCTACTTAGTGTTTAAGTCATGTGGCTTAGTCAATATGGAACAAGAAATCTTTAAACAGGCACGTGCCGGAGGTGCTACTATCAGGTGTTTCAGCGGCAGCATCATGGGGAACCTCTTTCTGCCTGTTGGGAAATACATTTTTGGCTCAGATTTTACTCAGGAGGTTGTTCTTCCCACCAGGCAGAGGGGACCCCTCTATTAACCACAGGGCACCCCAACAGGAAAGAATGTGCAGATCAAAGCAGGCAGGCCAGGTGCTGACATGTTTCAAGTGGAGGGGAGAAGTCTGCC